ACTGGAGCCCCACCCTGCCGGGCCCACCGGCCGCCACACAAGGTAACACTGCCCCCCAGCCCGATCCCACCCCTCCCCACTGCCGCCCCCAGGCCCCCTCACTCACACCCTCCACAGCCTCCAGCCCCTCAGCAGGGGTCCCGCGCTGCTCCCTGGAGCCACCTGGCCATGTGCTGGCTGTGTACAGCTCAAGGCTGGTCATGGTGGAGCCCGTGGAGGCCCAGTCAACCACGCTGGCAGACGCCATCATCCTGCTCACGGAGAGCCGAGGGGAGCGGCATGAGGTGAGGTTGGCGGGGGGAAAGGGGAGGGGCCGGGAGGAGGAGGCCTCACCCCACCCACACCTGCCCTGTCCCTGCAGGGACGTGAGGGCATGACCTGCTACTACCTGACACATGGCTGGGCGGGGCTCATCGTGGTGGTGGAGAACCGGCACCCCAAGTCCTACCTGCACGTGCAGTGTGACTGCTCCGATAGCTTCAACGTGGTGTCTACACGCGGCAGCCTGCGCACCCAGGACAGTGTGCCACCCCTGCACAGGTGGGCACCGCCCCAGTCCCTCTGACTCCCTGGCCTCCACTGGCCCTCACCGGCCCCCTCCCCCAGGCAGGTCCTGGTGATCCTGTCCCAGCTCGAGGGCAACGCCGGCTTCTCCATCACCCACCGCCTGGCACACCGCAAGGCAGCCCAGGCCTTCCTCAGCGACTGGACAGCCTCCAGGGGCACCCACAGCCCCCCACTCACGCCCGAGGTTGCTGGCCTGCACATGCCCCGGCCATTGTGACTGCCCTGCCCTCGCCTGCCTGCCTCCCACATGCACTTTAGGAGGGAGACCCCAACAGAAGATGCTTGAACCAGAATCTCAGGACCCCACCCAGGGAGCTGCAAGCACAGAGCAAACTTCCCTGGGCCTTCCTTCCTGCCCCTCCCTCCTGTCCTGGGCCTCCCAGCCACCAAGCAGAATACCTCCAACCCGCTTCTAGCGAGAGGGGACTGTGCACCAGCTCCTCTGACCAGCCTGCCGCGAGGCCGGGTTCATATTGCCAGGGCTGAGGTGAGGCTGCCCGTTCCTGTGGGCCTGGGGCCTCCTGCCTGTGTGAGGCAGCCAAGAGCTCCATTTACAAAACCAAATCTGGGCAGGTCAGAGGCTGGGACCCCAGGGTGAGCAGGGACCACCCCTTGTGGAGTAAGAGGTTGGGATCCCAGGGTGAGCAGGAACCACCCCCATGTGGGAGTCAAAGGCCAGGACTCCAGGGTGAGCAGGGACCACCCTCTTGTGGGGGGTCAGAGGCCAGGACCTGAGTGTGAGCAGGGACCACCCCCTTGTGGAGGTCAGAGGCCAGTACCCCAGTGTGAGCAGGGACCACCCCCTTGTGGGGGTCAGAGGCCAGTACCCCAGTGTGAGCAGGGACCACCCCCCTTGTGGGGGACAGGTTGGGACCCTGAGATGAGCAGGGACCACCCATTGTGGGGCATGAGCCTCCTATCCCCAGCTTGCTTCAAGAGCCCATCTTCCCACCCCCTCCCGCCCCACAAGGCAAGCAGGGGTCCCTGGAATCCCAGCAGTGTATCCCAGGAGGCAGGTGCCTGGCGACCATGGGCTCAGGACCAGGGATGGAGGGTCCTGGCTGCCTGCCCCCTCTGGCGACACTATGCAATTCCTGGACCACTAGTCAGGATCGAAGCCATGCCCCGGGGGCTGTGGGTCAGGAGCTGCCATTTGGTGAGGTGGTTTGTCCTCAGCACCACTGACCTCTGCCAGGAAGACCAGGGTCCAAACAGAAATCCGTGGCCAGCCCTTGTGGGCACACAGGGTAGGTTGTGGCTCTTCCCAGCGCCTCCCCGGCCTCAGAAGCCCAGGTTGCTGGGCTGCCTCCCAGCCATCCTCCCCCATGGCTGCTCAGAGTCCTGCACCTGCCTGTGGACTGAGGCCAGCTTCCAGGGGCCCGCCCGGCCTCTGCCCACCGCCCCTCACTTCCCTGGGGCTTGCGGGGGGGTTACAACTGGAGAAACACCAGGAAGCACTGCACTCCCCTTTGGGCCTCCTTTATATTTTCTCCTTTTACTCTTGAGCTGTGAATATTTTTAACCCTGTACATACAGCCAGCTCTTCTCACACAGAGACTATTTTATCAGCCATCCCCAGCCCCGTAGGATGATTCTCCATGGTGTTTCCAGACTCAGGCTCTGATGGACCAAATGAAATGTTTTGTTTTATAATGCTGTCTCCTCATCTGTCTGTACCCCTCCCCTCGCCTGGATGTGCAGACCCATGACGTTGGGGGTGGCTTCCCGGTACCGGAGTTCATCCTCACAGGGAGCCTTTAGGGCCCCCCTGCTCACCAGCTGCCTTTGACCCAGAAAGGAGCAAGTGTCCAAGCAGAGGCTTGGGCCAGACCGTGTGTGGTGGTCGGCAGGCTGGTCCCCACACAGCCTCAGCCGCATGCAGACACAAGGATAGTACGGATGTGCAGCTTTTCCCAGCGACGCCTTTCTGGGGGTGCCTGTCTGGATTCATCAGTCATCAGGCAGGAGCAGATGGAGCATGGGGGCCGCTGAGGAAGAAAAGTTTCAATTCTCCTGTGGGTTGCGACCTGCTACTGTCTGGCCCCGGGTCCCCTCCTGTTCATTCTGGGAGGCACCATCCTCATGTCACAGGTAGCAAGGCCAGCTCCCCACCTGGTATGCGGTTTTGGGTCTCAGTCTAGGCTCCTCCCTGAATGGTGGGGGGGCTCTGGGATACAGAGGCTGGCACGCAGCAAATGTAAGAGGCCTGTCACAGGCCAGCCTATCGAATGTGAAAGCAATTAAAGCCACCAGCAGTGTTCGCTCCAGGCGGGCCTCGGGCAGCGGGGGAGCTGCCACAACACATCTCACCTCGACGCCCAAAGACACCCGCCCTGATCCTCCGCGGCTGTGCTGGCCACACTGGACCCTTTCCCGTGGGGTGGGGGCCAGGCCTCGTAGACCCTCCAGTCGGAAAGCTGCTCGGTCACCCCTGCGGCGTTCCAGGCAGCCTGGACTAGTTCCAGTGGGTGCCTGGCATCCTTGTGGTGTCAGGCCAGGCAGGGGTCATCACAGTGGGGCGTGGGGCTGCATGCCAGCCCCCGTGGTCAGCCTGGAGACACCTGCCTACCCCAGCCAGCACCCCTCCCCTTGGACCCCAGTCTGTAGAGGAAGAGGTTCCAACAGGGAGAGAGTAAGAGAAGGGGCCAGGTGCCCCAGCCCCAGAGGGCACAGTGTCCAAGGAGTTGGGGGACCCCACAGGCAAGACCCTTAGTCATGACACTGAAGCTTGAAGGGCGTGCTGGCAGGGCCAACCACTAGAGGGGCTGAGGCTGCTAGTGGGGAGAGGGTGGGGGGAGCTAACCCAGCCTGAGGGTAAACCGCCGGTTGTGCCCTCAGCCGTACAGGGTGGCACCTGGACCCCAGGCCAGGGCGTGGGCAGGGCAGATGACCACAGCAGGGAGAGGGCGCGAGATGGGACTGTCCCCCTCCTCACTGTTGGCCTTGGCTCCCCACCTCAGCCTGCTGTCTCGCCCTCTGGCTGCTGGGGCTCCTGCTTCCGAGCACTCCTCCCCTTCTCTTCCCCACCCTCCCCCTTCCAACACCCCTGGCCCCCTCCTTGTCTCTGCCACTTGGGTTGGCCCTGTGTGCACCCACGGCCCTCTCTCCGGCCCCTCTCCCAGGCTGTCTCTCTGCCCACCCATTGGCCAAGGCGGCCTTCCCAGGGCGGGCGGTGATGTGTTCTCAC